TTATACCTCATAAATTCTGAGCAAATGAGGCAAGCAAGAGACTCATTTGCATCCTGCAACCCAAATTTGTTTACTACATATAATGGACTTATTTTTAGGAAAGGAAAAAAAACCCACACAAGTACAAAATATAGGATAACTGTCTTGGCAGTAGCACGGCTAGAAAGGATGTTACTAGGATGAAAAAGCAAATGCATGAACAAAACCATTTGTATGCAAGACATGGCAAGACTTTATTCAGGATTGGTTAGGTCTCTGCCTAAATACCACATTCAGTTTTGGGTACTGTATTTTAAGAAGTAGGGAAAAAACAACAAAAGGATTCACAGGCAAGTGATGAAGATGATAAAGGAAAAGGACTGGAAAGTTGAGTAAAGATTGGAGAAACTTCTTAGCAGCTTGGAGGATCTAGATCACTTAAGATTTATTTCAGATGTTTATTTCAGGGTCATTTCTGTGGTTCTCTTTTGAACTTTTCCAAGTTTTTCCACTTCCTTGAAGTGGGGTTGCCAAAACTGGACATAGTGTTCTAGTAAAAGTCTTACTGCTTTTTTTCCCCTCAAAAAGGGAAGCCACAAGAGCATAATTACTCTGTTCTCTCTTGGTGTTCTCCTGCTTCTCTAAAAGTTTATTCAGTGTGTCCTGTCCTTAACTCTTTGCACCAGCTTTCTGTGAGAGCCTCAGAGGACTTTGTCCTTGGTGATTCTTATCTTCTCCCTTTACCTGATTACTTGAAAATCAAGTGAAATCTCATCTGCAAACACAAATTCAACTACAATCACTAAAGATGATCCCAGATCTCCATCTGTACTTCAGACATGTTTCCTCCTTGGATATCACCTTATTTTTCTGACATTTCTTGACATAGATCAGCTCAAGTTCACTATAGCTAAAAAAGCCCTTGTAATCTGCTGCCAATCTATTCTCTGTAATCACTGTGGAATGAATTACTTCATTCTTCTGCAACCCGGGCAATCCTCTTTTTTACTTTGAAGTTCTCTGAGTTTAGCTTCAAGTTCGAAGCCTTTGATGTTTGGGGTGTTCTGTTGTCTGTTCCCACCTGCTGCAGCCCCTGTACTTTCCTCATCCCCTACACCCACCCTAAGATAGAGGGCCTTTTGTATTCATCCATATACCTAAAACTCTTGTCCAGACTGTCATCACTTCTCAGTTAGTGCAACATCCTTTTTCTCTGACAAATGCTATTTTTACCTTTCATATCCTCCCAGAAAGCTGCTGTTTCTAAGCTGGTTGTTTTAACCGTATTACCCCTTCCTTGTTCTCCCTCCACTGACTTAGTCTTCTTTATAACATTCAAGATCAAGTAACTCTTCTTACTTTTGAAAGTCCTTTTCATCCTACCTCCACCCACCTATCCTTGTTCATTCACTATACTGAAATCAAATTCTGTCTCCAATCAACCAGTGATAGTTTCTGTTGTCTGTCTGTTTTTCAAGCAAGCACCTTCATGCTGCCCTTCCAAAAAGGGACAAGCTTCTTGTGAACATCAGTACTGCTACCTTGTTGTCCCCCATCAACAAGCTTTGTTAATTCCCTCTTTAAACCAGTTTCTTCTTTTGATGTTTACCAAAAATTGACAGTGCTTAGACTTATAATATGCTGACACTGCTACCTACTTATCATTCCGATCAATATTATCCAGTGTTTTCTCTCTCCTGCTTTTTTTTCTTCACAGTCAGATTGAAAAAATACAGCCCTTAGTGGGATCTTGTTCCATAAGCAAGGCCTCTCTACATGCCACTCAATATTAATAATAAATCCTTGCTTCTATTTTATATTTCCCTTCTTATACATTCAAAGATTGTATTAACCCTTTTTGTTATGGTGTTGAATCAAGAGGTTGTATTAAGGTAAGCATCCCCAGTTCTTTTCTCTAATTTGCTGCTTTATGAAAGATTGTATGCCATACTGTGGGTATAGCATACATTCTTTGTTCTCAGTTGGCTTGTTACCTTAGGATTATTTAATATTTTTATTAGTTTATTCAATGAATATGCTGCCCTTCCCAACAAAGTTCAGGGTGGCCTACGATTAGAGAAGCAGAATATTTATAAAACTGGAGAACTACAAAACCCAACTTAAATGGGACTAGAATATAAACATAAGACAGTGACACCTCTGCCCCAACAATATCTTAGCCTAGCTCTGTGCTAAATATCTGACCGAACAGGAAAGTCTTGCAGAACTTCAGAAAAATGTCTGGACCTGAGCTCTGGCAAGCTTCAGGAGAGAGAATTCCAAACTTGAGGAGCAACTGCTGGGAATGACCTCACATGCCTTTTCAGCAAGCAGACTTAGCATATTGATGGTACTTGCAGAAAGTTGCTCTCAACTCACTCTAAGGGTTATGATGGGGCCTAAGGGAGAGAGGTAGTCCCTTGCATAGTAGGGCTTAGACCATTTGGGACAGTGATTCTTACCAGAGTGTAATCGCAGAATCCTTTCAAGGATGCTATGGGGTGCGACCAATGTTAACATTGTTAGATGTGCAAACATGATTCACAGGATAAAACCAAGACGTTTCAAATAGGAATCTATAATGTTAAAAAATTATACTTGTTATGGTTGTTCTGGGTTCTCTGCAGAAGAAGAATTGCTCTATTACTTTTCTCGAGTCAAAAAATGAATGAAAACTAAGCTGCCACTTTCTGAGGAGTTCCTCAAGCCTGTCAAGGGATGCCTTGAGTCTAAAATCTGTAAAGCTTTCATTTCAAGCTCATTTTCATATGCTTGTAAATTCCTGAAAATTAGACCTCTTAGTATACAAAACTTTCTTTTCTACCCCAAGGTCAAACTGTTAGCATAAGTTGAGTAGTGAATGCATCATCAAATGAGTTAGTAGTGAAAACAAGAAAATAGTCTCATCAAAATACTCATTTTAGGTTAGAAGAGTAAGTCTTGACTAAACAGTCTACTGTAAGGCTGTCCTTTTGTTATATCATTTGTAAATTAGGCCCAATGATACTTTAACCCACCTGCAGAAAAAAATAGTAATAATAATATTACTATTAATATACTAATAATAAACACTAGTAATATTTTGTGTTTAGTAGCCAGGCATGATGGATGGAAGAAAGGAAGCATGGAAAGGTTAATTCATTTGCCTGGAAAAGCATGGTGATTGAATGGGGTAGGCAGATTGAGTTTCAGTGGTTTGTATCTCTAAATTACTAAATATTTTTGCCATCTTGCATTTAAAATGTGGATATTTATTTGCCTATTTGTCAGGAGCAGAGAGACTACAGCAAATAACACTGGTGGGGAAGGGACCTTCTAGGACTCAGTTCAGCCCCCTGCTGTCATAGACAACCATGCTATATCCCTTTCACACTGATCAAATTTCATCCTAAATGGAGTAGTTTTTTTGAGGGGGAGGGAAGGGAAGGAACAGTAGAGTTTCTTTAGAGGTTTTTTTATGCCCTGCTATTATTTTAAAATTATTCCAAAACCTCACTCTTACAGCTAGACAGTGTGTTTTAATTTCTAGCCTAAATGTGTTTTAGGACAACTCACACTCATTTGTTCTTATACCAAAACTTTTGTTAGTTAGTTTAAATAGATCTTTTTTCCTGACCTTTGGCTTTGAATCCTTACTAAGTTTATATACTAGTTTTATCCTTCTTAGCCTTTGTTTTGCTAGGCCAAAGTAGCCAATCTCTTGTTGATCTCTGATGAAATAGGTTCTTGGTTTCCCTTTTCGATATCGTAGCGCTGCTCTACTCTTCTTCCTCTTGGAATACATCTTCCTTGAATATTGTTGATCAGAACAGTACAATGGCACTAATACTTTCCACTTGCTGCTGGAAATACCTCCTGGTATATCCCAAGATTGCATGTTGCTTTTTCCAGCTATTTCATATTTGTGGCCCTCAGTCAACCTGCTTTTCATAATAGTGAGATTAGACTAAAGATTGTTTTTTACACACCTCTTTCTTCTCCCCCACCTCATCTTCTTAAATACAGGCAGTAATTTATTCTTTTCGAGTTATTTGGTACCAGTTGATAAATTCATTAAAATACCGATAAGGCATACATTTCTGGCAAATCAGAGCAATTTGCCAGGTGTTGTTTGTTTGTTTTTTGCTGATGGCATAAGCATACCATGTAGGTTAGTTTCATTTTCTGGTGTAGGTCTCAGGATTCTTTATGCAACAGTAGAAGTGTTTCATTTGTACATCAAGGCTAGATAGAGACATTCAAAAACCCCAAGGCAAAATCAATCTAAGTTGCATGGTTTTCTGTAAGCGGTATAGTTTAGATCGGTAGCGAACAGAACACACATTGCCCTTTGTGGGGGAGTAAGTCTTAGATTGGGTTCCACCATTTTTTAACCAGTCTGTGTTTGCAGAACTTCTATTCTGTTATGGATATAGACCAGTTTCAATCACTAAGACCATTAAAAGTGTAATGTCTGTACATATCCCAAGTGTTGGAAGAAACATTTCACTTAGGGTATGTCTACATGACAGAAGCTAATACCAAGCCAAGAGAAGGCTGAGAGGGGATCTGGTGGCCGTTTACAAACCCACCAGGGGGGACCAGCGGGAATGCGGTGAGGCTTTGTGCCCCTGGGCACCACCTGGGGTTACTAGGAATAATGGCCACAAATTGTTAGAGAGAAGGTTCAAGCTGGACATCAGGAGACATTACTTTACAGTTAGGGCTGCCAGGCTCTGGAATGGACTCCCAAGAGAGGTGGTGCCCTCTCCTACCTTAGGGGGTGAGGAGGCTGGACAGATATTTGGCTGGGGTGCTATGACCCCAGCATCCGTTCCTGCCCAGGGTGGGGAGTCAGACCTGATGGTCTGTTTAGGTCCCTACCTACCCCGAGTACTAATGACACTATGATGTAGAATAAAGTTCATCTAGCTCAGAATGAGGAACCTCAGATACTAGTGGTAGCAGCTAAGTGTAATGTGTAGTAATAAAAATGTTGTAGATGATATTTTTTTAAAATGCTACTACTTATGCTTATACAGATGGCTTGCACAAAATTAGGCTAAACTACAGTGAAGACTCAGCTGATGGCAGTAAAGTAAATGAAGATGACCTTATAGATTTTTCTGAAGATCAGGATAACCAGGTAAAGAGCTTAATAACTTTATTTGAATATGTGCCTCTTTCCAGATGAAGAGCCTTTAAAAGCTGAATGTAAAATAGATAGATTGGTTGTTCATTACCTTGCTTAGTTTGTCAGGGTTGCAGTTGCTTGGTCTTGCATGAAATGGGAAATCAGGTGCTATATTTCATAAGTTACCTTGATGTAGGATGATTTAGCTGGGGTTTCAAAAGACCTTCGTTTTCTCCACTTTTATCTGGATAACGGGTCATGCAGTTTCTTAGAAAGAGAGAACCCTTGTTGGCTGATGTTAGCATGTTCTCTTGCTGTGGGTTTTTCCTCTTCCTCTCCCCCCCCTCCCCACCCCCCACTCCCAGTTCCAAGTTAGATTGGAAGATTTTGAGATTTAAAAGATAGCAGGGGAGAAGTTCTCAAATGCAGTTGGGGCTAACAGATTTTGCCTGTACAGACAGTGATACTAAAGAAGAGCAACCTGAATTTCCCTGGTAATGCATTCAGGGTTGCCAAATATCAGTAAATCTACAGACAGTCAGTAAAATAATCAGGTTAAAAATGCTTCTCCATGAAATCATTTAAAAATATTACGTGGTCCATAAAAACATGAAACAAACCAAAATTTGATTGAAACTCCATGGTCAGTAAGAAGCTGGAGGCAGTGTTGAAGAAGAATAGCACAGCTTCACAACCAGGGATCTAAATGTGAATGCTGCACCCTGCAGGGAGTCTTTTTTTCAGGGGTTTGTAGCCCTTCCCCTAGCCGTGTGCTGCTGCTGAGGCCTGTTGACTGCCTGTAGAACTGCAGGTAGGCTTCTTGGGGGAGAGTTCTATGCTGGAATGGAGGGAGTAAGGCCAGCAGGGGTATGGCAGGGGGGAGGGAGGTAGACTGGGCAGGGGGGCAGCAAGGTGCAGGGTGTGTTCGGGGACATTAGTGTGTTGGGGATGAGTAGAGGACCCCTGGAATGGAGGCATTGCTGCTGTCAACCAGAGTTTCCAACCCACGAGATCTTTTTGTACACTTTTTTTACTGGCAATCAAACTTTTTTTATTATGTTTGTTAGCAGAGTGTTCAAAACCCCTAGATTTGAACCCAGCCCTTGTAACTGGCGGAAAAGTGGCACTTACATTATGTAAAACATCCATCAATACAAAAGTCTTTTGTATTTACTCTTTTGACTGGCAAACAAGTAAAAAAGTTTGGTTGCCAGTCATAAGTTTGCAGATTGTCAGTTAAAAAAAAACCCCAAATACCAAAAAACCCAGTATCTTTGGTTCGCAATCCTGAATGCATTGCATTTTGGGCTGGTTAATTCCCAGCAAAAGATGTTTTCAGATAATTGTGCTGTATTGTTTTATTTCTCTGTGTATGTGCTTGCTTTTGAAAATCACTCCCCTCCCTGCTCCACCCCCATAACAAAAGTGGTCCATGGTGTAAATCAGGAAGTTAGAAAAAAACAAACCTCCTTATGCTTTGTTGCAATGTTTTTAAGTGCAACAGAACCCTATCATTATTCTAAGCTCAAAATTCTCTGGTCAAGAGAGAACTTTTGCACAGAAAAGTGATCTCAAAAGGGCAAAAGTCACATGTCCTCCCTAAACCTAGGTGGCTCACTGGACAAGTGTTTCTAAGGCATGCCAATTTCTGTAGCAGTAGCATGCAAGGGAGTGAGGTGGCTAGAATCACATCTAGCTTCTTTTAACTTTCATAGTCCAAAGGACAGCATACCCATTTACAGTGAATTGAATTTAATTGAATTGAGGGTGGGCCTTCAGTGCGATTCCAGAAGATTAAAGTTATTTATCTGGATTTCATAGAAATGCCATAACTACTTAATGCTGCAACCCTGAACACAATAGGCCCCCTTCTCTTCCCCCTCCTCTTCCCCCTCCCCTCAAGCCTCCCCCCC